GTCCTGAAATTAGTTTGTACTCTGGCAGCTTTCTTTAAATGTCAACCAGATGCAGTGCTTCATTACAATATTTTCCTCTTTTTTTCTCAATTTTTACTTGTCCCCACAGATTGTTGGTATTTTAAAACATTTGTCCTTCAAGAGTCTTCTGTCTGATCCTGACTGAAGATAAGATATTTTAAAAGTCAGTGAACTTCCTCACATAGCACTTGTTTTAATTTTTCCTTTCTGGCCACAGACTCACAGTTCCTGAATTTCAAATGTTTTTCAAACCACAACTCAAGTAAAGGAAGCACCTCATTGGGCATAGCTTAATGTTACTGTAATGACTCACAGAAGGGACCTGTCAATTATAGTCTTTCTGCCCTCCCTTTACAGTCACACACACTTCCATTCAAAGCTCCTGTTTGCACTCCTTTCCAAAAATATTATCCTTCTGGGAGGAAATTTTTCATGCATAAACTCAGCTTGACTGAATGTCCTTTTTTTCCAAAGAAAGTTTGAGAAAACTAATTCTTAGTTATTTGAGAGAGTTAACACACACTGACTTTCAAACCTAGATGTGTATGTTTGTTGATCATTAAAAACTGAAAAGGAAAAGTATTTGTGAATTTACTCTACAGAGAGCAAGACTCTTGAGTCCTTTGGAAGGAAGTCACCATATACTTAATAAAGACAAGCGTGGCTTATAAATCATTTTAGATTACAGATTCTACAGCACTTATTAAATGTTTAGGATGATTTTTTTACCTCTGTTTCTCTATGAGTCCAGAAATATAATGAGCACTCATTTTACAGGAGCATGTGTATTTGATAGCTCAGATAAACAACTATAATCTTATTGTCACAGCTGCAGGAACAGTTATTGTTGGGTTTGCTGCTGGGTTTTTTGTTTGTTTTGTTTTGCTTTTTGCTGTTGTTTCTTTTAAACAGTTACTCTATTTTTTTAAAAAAGATCAGGGAAAAGCAGCTCTGATTCTATATTGTAGAGAAATATAAAATAAGAATCTAGAAACCTGGGTGGGGAGAGTTCAATTCCACGAGTGCTTGTCTAGCTTATGAAAGGCCCTGGGTTCAATCCCTACTACTGAAAAATGCAGAAACTTGGACTATTCACTGAAATTTCATACTGTGCATAGGTGCCATTTTGTAGACAGTAGTAATTCTTAATGTGGAATTTAATCTAGAAATTTTGAGAAATGTTCATTATAATGAGACCACGCTCACCTTTGCTTTTGTCTGCACATTTTTAAGAAATGGAGGTTTAGTCATTAAAATTTTCATACTTGGTGCAAATAAAAATAGAATTTAAAATCTTTTTTTAAGTATAGTTGGCTTCCCCCCACCCCTGCCCCCCAGTGCTGGGGATCAAACCCAGGGCCTTGCGTATACTAGGCAAATACTTAGCTACATAATCAGCCCTGCAATTAGCTTTTATTTCTATGGTATGTTTCTTCAACCATCTAAAACTAAATGAACTGATATGGTATAAATGAACCTTTTGGTGAAGGTAGCCAAAATAGACTATTTTTAATTCTTCAGTTATGAGAATATTCTAACAAATGAAGCAAGAGACCAATTCATCGCGTGGAGGAGTTACTCCAGAGTGACAAGCAGGGGATATTGCATGCAATGCCGCTTGCTTTCTGCTTCTGTGTTATTTGATATCTACCCTCAGGGACTCCAGTTCCAGTCCTGCCTTCTTTTGGTGTCTCATCCAACCAAGCAGTAATTAATCTCAATCCAAGTCAGCCCTACCAAGGTTCTACAGAGTCATGTTGAAATGTGAGGCAGCTACTTGCAGAGAAACCAGAATGGAGAGAAAAGCTATACACACACTCCAGCAGTCAGTCCATCTGTGAAAGCACCTCCGTGAGTCATAAGGGCTGGAGCAGGCGTTGTCTGTGAATGCCCATCTCACTTTCTGTGTCACATCTACTACAGAGTGGAAAAACTGGGAGAACCTCCTTCTTTGTATCCAGTGAAGTGTTGTTTGCTTTTCCAAAAATTCAATTGTCATTGAAACGAACACCTCTACAGGTCTTGTGTCACCCTGTTGTCACACACTAGTTCTCTTTTAATAACTATTTGCCACCTCTCAAGATTTGCTCAGAACCTCCCTTTTGTACCAAACCTTCTCTGCCTACCCTTCCAAGAAACTCCATCCTCCTTTGACCTCTGGTTTATCTTAATATCTGTCTTTTTATAATCTACCATCTTGTATGTTCAGTTATTTTTATGTCTTTTATTATAATTTTGGTAAGCTGCTTTTCCAAATCTAGGCTGTAAGTTTATTAAGGGTCAGGACCATATCTGAAAGCCCTTCATGTTCCCAGTAGCACCTAGAACAATACCTTGAAGAAAATAATGCAGTCAATGAATATCTCCTGATTTAGTCAACATATCATTTCATTTTCATTTAAATGGGAAATGAAATCTTTCATACGCTGACCAACCCACATTAGTCTATTAAGCATTTATCAGTTGAGCCTAGTGCTAAGATCCAAAACACAACAGTGAATAACACCAACAAAAGCCAATGATCTTGCAGACGGACAATAAACAGATAAATAAGAAGGTACAAAATATGCAAATAGAGTATATGCCATGGCGAAAACCATAGGTAAGAAAGAAAAGGAAAGTCTGGTTATGGGAGCTATATAGAGTTGGTTCACTGAGGAGAAAGGGATAGTTGAGCAGAGACTTAAAGCAGGAGTTGATATTTGATGCAAGAGAATTCCAACCATTTAAATGGCAAGTACAAAGACCCTGAGAAAGAAATAATGCTCGCATGAGCAGAGAAAGAGAAGTGAATCCGAAGGAGGGAAGGAAGGAAGGAGACACAGTGAGAAAGAGTGTTTGGGTTTAGGGCCAAAGGGGTCATTATAGAGACTGGAACTTAACTCTAAAGCACATAGAACCTTTAGGGGGTGAAGCAGAATCAGCATAATGTCATTCGCTTTTCACATAAACAGAAATGCAAAGATTCAAACAGCTATGTCACTCAGCATGAACTCCAGTGTCTAAGATCTAATCATGATTCAAGCTATTTTGTGTACAATTTAAATATTACTATATGTTGTACAGCGCATTTTGCTAGGCCAGATACATGATCAGATTAGTCATTCATTTATTGAAATAATGCCTTGTATGTGTTCAATCCTAGCACTGAAAAAGGAAAAAAAAAAAAAAAAAACAATGTCCTGGGACTCAAAAGATGGCTCAGTAATTAAGAAAACTGGCTGATCTTGCAGAGGATCTGGGTTCAGTTCTCAGTCCCCACATGGCAGCTAACAATGTCTGTAACTCCAGTTCCAAAGAATGCAACAGCCCCTTCTGGACTCTGTGGGCACTACATGCATGTGGTATACTTACATGCAGGCAAAACACTCAGACACATAAAATAAAAATAAGTAATAATTAAAAACAAAAAACAATGCTCTGAGTCAAGCATTGTCATTTTGTAGATGAAGGAATAGACTTATGGGGGTGCAGTTAAGAAACTTACCCAAGTCACACAGTTGATGCAGGTGGACTTTGTTACAGAGCTTTTGTTTTACAAGCAGATGACTCGCACAGAAAATAGGCAATATGATCATGTTAGCATTCCCCTTAGCATCACTGCCATTTGTAAGTCCCGACATAGACTGCTGACAAGTACCACTACATAGTTGGTGGCAAGTTAATTGCCACCAACTTATTTCTAGAAATCCTATCATGGAATTTAAGTTGAATGGAGACATGAGAACAAGAGTACTGTGTTCATTACTTTTCTGTTGCTGTAATAAAACACTGTAACCAAGGCAACTTCTAGAAGGAAGAGTTTGGGTAAGCCTACAGTTCCAGGAGTAAGAGTCCATAATGATGGCAAAGGTGGCTAGAGAAGAAAGCCAAGCAATCGCATCTTAAGGCAGGCACAGGAAGCAAAGAGTAACTGAAAATTTGGCAATGTTTAAGAGTTCTCAAAGCTGGCCCTCAGTGACTTGATTCCACCAGCAAGGCCATGCCTCTTAAGATCTCCCAAAACAACTCCACCAATTGGAGACAAAATATCCAAATACTTGGAGCCTATGGGGGGCAATCTCATTCAAACCATCACATGTACCGAGAGCTCCTCTATGTCCAGGCTGTAGCAACCTAGTATTATAGACATTCTGCTCACTTCCTTGATATCCAACGAACTAAATACCATGCCTACACCCTCCTCATGCCCTAGTAGACTTTCTCATTTCTGCTACATGTAGAAATTAGCCTTGAAATATTTGTCTCCCTTTCCCTCCAAATATACTCAGACCAGCTCCTACAAGCTTGGAATCAGCAGATCTGAAATTAAATTAAAGTTGGGAAACCAAATTTAATGTTCATCAGCAATTAGAAATCATTAAGCCACTGCTCCAGAACCGATTAGTTGTGGTATCCAGGAAACTTGTCCAGCTCTGACTTAATCACTGAAAGTCTCACTACATAAGTAGCTATGCAATGATTTTTCCCATCCTTTTTTTTCAATACATATAAATTGACAAGTTTATTATTAAGAAACTTTAGTAGCAGGCAGTTTTTAAAAAGAACGATTGGGTTTTACAACATGAAAGATGACAATCCATGACAGGATATATGCAAAGATAATCAATGTATTAAATACTATCTAAATTTAAAGGCTATAATTCGAATAGCTAATTATAATTACTGTGTCTTGGTGAAAGTAGTTGTAGCTCTCCATGAAATTCACCTACCTTCTTCTGAAGGCTAATGAGACTCACCTCAAACTCTATTATTTAATTTACTGCAATCATTGCTGAGTTTACTGTACTAAGCATACACTATCACAGAAAGCACAAATGCCACCCGGAGGGATCTTTTCTTCAAATGTATCTCAGGCATCTTTTAAAGTGCGAGCTACAAATGGGGCTACATCCTTAAACAGAAGGTTTGTGAAAAGAAGTATCTGAGTTAGCTATCCAACACTGCCACAAGTGCTTCTACAACTAACCAAAGGAAACTGGCAGCACTCCACTAACTCCAGTTTAGTGTAGCAAGGTCTTCCTTGGTAGCAGAGTTCTAAGCTCTTATTACACTACCAGCCAAACATGTACTCCATCATTCTTGACATGAGACTTTGGCCTTTTTTGGCATTTGTCTGTCAGAAATAACCTGGTAGTCATTAGTAGAAGCTTTGTATGTGGTAGCAAGAGGCCTCATGGTAGAAATCCTAGGAGTACTTCCAGGTTGTGGTGTGCCTAAGGTCTTCATTGGTGGTGTAAAGGTTTATCTATACATGGCTTGACATCGATCATGATGGATTCTCCAAATATTCTCCCATCTTTGCTTAAGGTTTTCCAGCCTTGCAATTTAGATTGATAACGAATATGCATCCAATTGCCTGTGCTAGACATCATGTGCTTTAAGATATTTCCATACTGTACAAATTGTAGTAATATATAAGAAGCAGATGCTTGTGGAAACCCAAACACAGTCACCCAAGTGTCATCAAGGTGATCTTCTGAAAACAGAGAATCTCCTTGAGTATAAAAAGGATCCAGCTGGGCAAGACATAGTGTCATCTTTTGTGCTTGACCAATATTTGCCAGACTAAACATACTTTGCCCGGTTACAGGAGTTGTAACTCCAACAAGAGGACTCTGCATTACTGAAATCTTCGTCTTCTTGAAGTTAAAGGTGTTGATCCAAGTCCGGGGCTAGAAATGTCATCAAATATACTCCTAACAGGTGTATTTTTTCCATCCTTTTAAATTTTAGAATCATAAAACATTGAATTGGGCTGGAGAGATGGCTCAGCAGTTAAGAGCACTGACTGCTCTTGCAGAGGACCCGGGTTCAATTCCCAGACTCACATGGTGGCTATGAACTGTTCCTTAACTCCAGTTCCAAGGGAATCCGAAGCTCTTTCCTGACCTCCGCAGCATTGCATGACATGGGTGCACTCACACACATGCAGGCAATATACTCATACACATAAAATAAAAATAATAAATAAAATATGTATTTTTTAAAAATTGCATCTATTGGATGAACTTCTAGAATCCTGAATATATTAAAGGTGCATCCATTAAGAACTTTAGTAAGCAAAAACTGAGTAGTAAGTATTGCCATTACAACAAAGGGGTCCACTGGCCCATTGGATCCTTCAGTCAGAAAACAGTGGTGGTCAGTAGCAGGATAGCAAGTGGGTTTTGGCTCCAGTACCAGCTCAGCTTGACAGTGTGGCTGCCAGTGGAGCTGCACTGTGAGGAGGATTCTGAGGCTGGACAGGAAGACAAAAGGACTAACAAGCATGTGTGCCTGGCTGTACAGATACAGTAACACCAGAGACTCGAGGAGACACGTGTGCTAGAGAAAGCATCCTGCCTGACTAGAAAAGAAATTAAGTTACCAGAAACACTGAATAGGTAAAACCCACCTGTTCTCTATACAACCACAGTATCTTTCAGACTGAGCTCTCAATAGAGAGTCTGGTCTTTATTATTAACTTACCTAAACAATGCTAATAATTAACAGGAAGGATAAAGTTGTATGATTTATCAAGTGTGTCAGACTTAATGAAACTATTTTAGTGCAATCCTGCAGCTGAATCAAGGTCATCAACAATTAGCTAATCATCAAGTTGTCAATGTACTGACATTGTTATTCTAAATCTAACGGGCTGTTAGTTTAACTGCTGGCTACTGCCTCCATGATGGGCTTCTGGTCTCTGATGTTTTTTGAATCTGGAAGTGTGACATCATTTTTTAATCTTTGTTCCCAAGGCACATCTTTAATTGGTTTATATATCCTTCTGAACTACCTAACTGAAGAACCATTAAATAGCAAATCCTTCGAGAATATGTGAAAAAAGCCATCATCTACCAAAATCCTGATCTTTAAAAATATTTAGGTAAGGGAAGACACGAACCAACCATACTCGGGCTATCTTTCTCTACTCTTAAAACTATTTTTCTCCTACTTTTATGGAACTATTAGTCATGTCTAATTTTTAAATACTATAATATACTGGATGACACATAATCCTTTTTCTGTCTGTTCCCTACCTGGCTCTTTTTCTTTCTTTTTCTTTCTTTCTGATATTAGGGGTTGAATGCAGGATCTTGCACATCAGAGGCAAAATCTCTTCCCCTGTGCTATACCTTCAGCCTTATTATTTGTTTCATACAACCAGTAGGTGATTTTTAAAATATTATGCTATCTTACATTATGTATAGCTATGTTTTTTTCCTATATTACGCACTAGGCATACTTCAATGGAAAGATCTGTGATTCTGCAAAGATAATGAACATCTCATATGGTAACATGTATTCACACAAACATCTAATGAAGCTATAGAGCATTAGACTCATAAATTGAGAGCTGGACAGGGGGCATTAGAAACCATTTACTCAATTGATTTGAACATATTTAACTCAAGAACCTTTTCTACACAGAAATCCCCAACATGAAGCAGTTAAATTCTGAATCACTCTGATCAAAACAGAAGGGAGAGTCCTGAGTTGCTCAGCTTCCCTGTCTCCCTCTGTCCAACCCTAGCCAGCATATTGGTCCCTAAATCATGACACTGATTTAGGAAAGTGAAGCTGGGTCAGACACTAACTTAAGCAGACTCTGTTTGCTGAACATTTCAACACCAGACTAGAATACTTTCTCAAGTGTCCCTCAGATCATCCCTCCACAAGAGACCCCTGAAGCAAGAAATTTTAATATTTCTTTAACAACTCTTTCAAGAGCATCATTCTCTACCCTGGATGGGTTTCAGTATTAAAACTTCCTAGTTTTGATAATAATGTATGTTCCCAGTCATAATCATTTACACTAATGAGAATAACATCATTAGAGAAAAACGGCCTCAAGATTTGACACACAGGATTATGAGTGTTACATTAGCCTCAGCAACTATTGCTATATCTTATTCTGATAGAGAGATACTCGGAAACTCCTGGCTCATTCAGACAGGTAGCTGCAGAAGACATTTCAAATGTCTTTATTAGGGAAGAAGTTATATACATTGAAAAGGACTGGTACTTAGCGTACCATTGAGCAAAGTTTGACAAATGCAAATATTAATTCCTATATAAAGAACATTCCAATTAAATGTGTTGTTGTTTGGCTGAATTTGGAATATGGGATAGATGTTTGTTGCAGTGTAGTGGTGAGTTCTCATTAGGGCAGAAATCTTTCCCGGTAGGCTTAAAAGCTGGGAACCAGACAAGTTCTGAAATCTCAATGGGACCAGTAGTGCACCGGGTCAGAGAAACATTGGGCTCCCACCCAGCACAGCTGGGGAGTCAGGCTCCCAGGGCCCTCACCCAGCCACTGCCCTGAGAACTCAGCACCATCCCAGAGCCCAGACACCAAGCAGGCAGGAGGCACCCTGTTGGTGGTGCACAGCAGCTCATTTTTACTTGGCAAATCAAATCAAGCCAGGGAGAAAGGCTGGACCTCCTTTTCCCAACGTGTGCTCTCACTGGGTCAATAGCAAGATTGTTATGAGAGCGAAACTGGAGCTGGGTAATGTGTGTAGGATCTGTGGCTTTACTGTGTCCCTGCTATGTTAATTAGTATTAGGAGCATGATGGATTGGCAACACGTGTGCGCTCTGAGTCTTAAACCAGCCCTGAGAGTTTAGCACTCCATTAGTTACACATCACAGAAACCCAGGGGATGTTTATTCAAAAAGAGGATCACTTACAGGAGGGAAACATGCTAATTCATTCCTGATACCATCTGGGGAGAGGGACACCCCATCCCTGCTCGTGAACAGTGTAACCTGTCATCCAAGACAGAGATGGAATTAGAGGCTGGCGGGAAACTACAGAAAACCCAGGCCCCTGGCCTGGGAACCCTGAAATCTCAAATCCTCAGTTGTTCCTATGTGAATCCCTCTGAGACAGAAGTTCAGAGAAGGCTCTGTGTTGACATTTCAATCCATTGCTCTGAGCCAGAAGCAAGGAGCTCTGTAACCGGCTCCCACACCCATCAGGCCACAGAGAAGCCAACTCCCGTTCTGCCCTCTTTAGCACCCAGTTTCCCAGCAGCTGCTGTCTCTCCTGCACCAGCTGTACCTACCCTGCACCACCAAGCTAACAGGCTGAGAGGGAACCACAGGGGACTCTGAAATTAGGAACTTCCCAGAGGCAGGTGATCATTGCTGACCTGTTTTGTATTAAAATGGTTAAATAAATTGTTAAAATTATTAATTTTTTTAATTAATTCAAGGGGCCCTTGAGAAGATAAGCCAAACTCCATTCTGATTCTAAGGTTCTGGAGTTTTAATGTTGCCAGAGCAATTGCATAGACCTGAGAAGATGAGGGTGTGGCTAAAATATTAACAAGTTAATGATGCTGGCTTTAAATTAACAGTGTAATTTGTATATGATATCTACTAAGACTATATCATGTATATAGCAACATACACACACTCATTAATGCATCAGTGCACTGGAAAACTTAACAATGACTCAGGGGCAGGGACAGAGCTCTGATCCACAGTGTTCACCAGTTCCTGGTATGAATGTTCCTGCCATGGTGAATTTCCACCTCCTAACCTGATATCACTGAACAGGGTTTGGGAAGAGGAGATGCCTACCACTGGCCTTCACAAATCTATAGGCACAGAACCAGAACCCAAATCCAAGTTAGACGAACAGAAACAAAAGTTACCCTTCTTTATCAGTGAGATGTGTCTTCCTCCTCTTCCCTCTGACATTGGTCCCTAGGATAGCATATCTCTGGGTTCTAATTCCAACTTTGTTAGCACAGAACCTTGAATATATTCTCTTTTCTCTTCACCTACAAAATTAAGATTTAGGGACTGGGGCTGTACTTAGTGGTAGAGTGCTTACCTGGCATATATGAGGCACTAGATTCAATTCCTAGCACTAAAAAGAAAGAGGGTGGGGGAGCTGAAACTTTTAGAAACTAGATCTACTCACAGAGAGTAGAAGGGAGGTTATCAGGGGCTGGGGGTGAGGGATGGGAAGCAGGATGCTGCTGACCAAAGAGCATAAATTCTCAACCCAAGATGAACACACTCCAGAGCTCTGATGAGAAGCATGGTTACCAGGAACTGGCACTGTGCTGCATACTTAAGAGGCTGTTGGGAAGTAAGTCTGAAGCATGTGCCACCAAAAGGTTGGTGCAAGAGTGACTGTGAGGTGATGGGTGAGTTAACTTGGTTGGCAATGTGTGTATATACATTTTACGTACAATCTTAAGTGTCGGTCATAGCTATATAAAGCTTACAGTATTTTAATTTTTAACTTATTTTTATTTTATGTGTATGAGTGTTTTGCATGCATGTATGTAAGTGCACCTCATGCATGCAATGCCCAAGGAGGCCAGAAGAGGGCATCAGATCCCCTGGAACTATAAAATGGGTATTGGCTGCTATATGAGTGCAGAGAACCAACCCAAGTACTCTGCAAGAGTAACCAGTACTCTTAATCACTGAGCCATCTCTCCAGCCCCAAGTTACAATATTTTAAATAGTGATGCTGTGAGGATCAAAAAATTTATTAGGCATATCATGAAACAATAATACTCAAACCTCAGTGTATCCAGATCATCCAGACAACAGGCTAAAACAGCTCTCTGGGTCAATCCCCCAGAGTCTCAGACACAAAGAGTTGGAATGGGGTTGGGAAACTATGTTTCTAACACATTCTGCAGCTCTTACAAAGTCCCAGTGATGATAACACAGCTGGTCCAGATCCCC